ATCTCATCCGCCCATCACCTCATCCGCCCATCATCTCATCCGCCCATCATCTCATCCGCCCATCATCTCATCCGCCCATCATCTCATCCGCCCATCATCTCATCCGCCCATCATCTCATCCGCCCATCATCTCATCCGCCCATCATCTCATCCGCCCATCCTCTCATCCGCCCATCACCTCATCCGCCCATCATCTCATCCGCCCATCCTCTCATCCGCCCATCATCTCATCCACCCATCACCTCATCCGCCCATCATCTCATCCGCCCATCATCTCATCCGCCCATCATCTCATCCGCCCATCCTCTCATCCGCCCATCATCTCATCCGCCCATCCTCTCATCCGCCCATCATCTCATCCGCCCATCATCTCATCCGCCCATCATCTCATCCGCCCACCATCTCATCCGCCCATCCTCTCATCCGCCCATCACCTCATCCGCCCATCATCTCATCCGCCCATCATCTCATCCGCCCATCATCTCATCCGCCCATCATCTCATCCGCCCATCATCTCATCCGCCCATCATCTCATCCGCCCATCATCTCATCCGCCCATCCTCTCATCCGCCCATCATCTCATCCGCCCATCATCTCATCCGCCCATCCTCTCATCCGCCCATCCTCTCATCCGCCCATCACCTCATCCGCCCATCATCTCATCCGCCCATCCTCTCATCCGCCCATCATCTCATCCGCCCATCACCTCATCCTCCCATCATCTCATCCGCCCATCATCTCATCCGCCCATCATCTCATCCGCCCATCATCTCATCCGCCCATCATCTCATCCGCCCATCATCTCATCCGCCCATCATCTCATCCGCCCATCACCTCATCCGCCCATCATCTCATCCGCCCATCCTCTCATCCGCCCATCATCTCATCCGCCCATCATCTCATCCGCCCATCATCTCATCCGCCCATCATCTCATCCGCCCATCATCTCATCCGCCCATCATCTCACCCATCACCTCATCCGCCCATCATCTCATCCGCCCATCCTCTCATCCGCCCATCATCTCATCCGCCCATCATCTCATCCGCCCATCATCTCATCCGCCCATCATCTCATCCGCCCATCACCTCATCCGCCCATCATCTCATCCGCCCATCCTCTCATCCGCCCATCACCTCATCCGCCCATCATCTCATCCGCCCATCCTCTCATCCGCCCATCATCTCATCCGCCCATCATCTCATCCGCCCATCATCTCATCCGCCCATCATCTCATCCGCCCATCATCTCATCCGCCCATCATCTCATCCGCCCATCCTCTCATCCGCCCACCACCCATGATCCCCTCCTCCACTGCATGCCTCACCATGCCTGAATCACCCATGCATGCACAGACACACGCAAAAACACGTCTTGATGCACAGAGGTACACATAAATTAGCATATATTTCCAGATAAGAAAATACGCACGAAAGGAAACACATCAGCACAGGTCCACACAAGCAACGCAGCGCCCGCATTGCATCCTCTCCAATCCCAGTAAGCAGCCCCCACGTTCAAGGGAAAGGGTGAGACCAATGACACTGTGAGTTGAAATGGCTTGAAGCGTTTTCATCCATGTGGTGGTGATGCTTTGAGGCCACAGCACGAGGTGGCAGGTGTGACAAGAAGCGAAAGAATGGGTGAATGGGAAATAATTCGAGGGAAAAAGCGAGGATTGTGGAGAAGAAACGACAGGCAGGAAGAAGGACCCGCAAACGCCGAATGAGAAGCCCTAACCACGATGAGTATGAGACATCTGAGGGGATTGACAGCAAGTCGCGTACCGTCCTGACAATTTGCAAGATGGGATGACATGGCATAGTGTTGATTGGCCATATGTGAATTGGGGAAAAACTGGAAACCAAAGGAGTGGACAGGGAAAAGGGATGAAGGGGAAGTGGAGGAGAAGGAGAAAGGTCAGATAAATGTGAGAGCAAGAAGTGGAAACACATCCTTCAACATACCATAGCAGCGGAGCCAAGCGCACACAGCAGAGAGCGTAGCAGTGAAAGCACAGTGCAGGGTTGTGAACATGCAAGCGAACCATGATGCTTGGTCAAGGCAATGAGAGATGGGGACAAGGGAGATGAAGAGAATACCACCTGAGATTGCACATACACCCTCCATGCACCTGTGCCCATGCACCCATGCACCCATGTGCCAATGTACCCATGCAGCCATGCATACACCCATCCACTAACAGGCAATTCAAAGCATTCATGGCGTGCCATGATGCCATGATGCCATGGTGCCATGATGCCATGATGCCATGATTCCATGATGCCATGATGCCATGGTGCCATGATGCTATGACGCCATGATGCCATGACATGATGCCATGATGCCATGTTGCCATGCCATGATGCTATGACGCCATGATGCCATGACATAATGTCATGATGCCATGACATGATGCCATGATGCCATGACATGATGCCATGATGCCATGATGCAATCACACCTCTATTTCGGATGGGGGGAAGTCAATGGGTGTGACGAAATAAAAATACACTCTCTCCAGGCAACTGGGAAGGGGAATTAGGCTGTTGGGGGGGAGGGGAGATCGGGGAGGAGGAGGTGTCAGAATAGAGCTAGCCCATTCATGGCATCTCATGTTATGTCATCTCGTGTTATGTCATCTCGTGTTATGACATCTCATGTTATGTCATCTCATGTTATGTCATCTCATGTTATGTCATCTCATGTTATGTCAACTCATGTTATATCATTTCATGTCATGTCACATCATGATATGTCATCTCATGTCATGTCACATCATGTTACGTCATGTCATCTCTTTTTACGTCATGTCATGCCATCTCATCTCATCTCGTTTTTTCTCATCCCATTGCATTGCATCCCATACCATCCAATCCCATCCCACCGCATCCCACCTGGGGAGGTTGGTGCTGGGAACAACGGTTACAGGGCCAATATCAGTGTCGGGGTCAAGGCGGAAGGGCTTGTACAGAGGAGAGACCAGCCGCCCCACAGCATCTCACCCCACGCCACCCCCACGCAACCCCACCCAACCGCTTCCCACTGCATCCCACCTGGGGAAGTTGGTGCCAGGTACGGTGACAGGGCTGATGTCAGTGTCTGGGTCAAGGCTGAGCGACTTGTACAAGGAGCACAGGGGCTTTCACAGAGAGGAAGCCAGCAGGTCGTTTCGATCCAATGCAATGTCAAAACTGGGGGGGGCGGGAAGTGTTGGGGGGGTGTGGAAAGAATGGAAGAAGGTGAGGGGGTCAAGGGAGAGCGACCCGTACAAGGAGCGGAATTGCTTCCCGAGAGGGGAGGCCAGGAGATCGACATTATCCAATGAAATGGCACAGCTGGTCGGGTTGGACGGGAGGGGAGAGCGGGGAAGAAGAGTTTCAAGCCTGAGCGACTTATAAGGAAGGAGGGGTTCAAAGCTGAGCGATCCATACAAGGAGCGGAAGGGATTTCCCACAGGAGAGGCCAGCAAGTCGTTCCGATCCGATGCAATGTCAAAACTGGTAAGATTCGGGGGCACGGAGAGGGGGAGGGAGTGGGGAAAGGAAAGAAAAAGGGGGAGGGGGTCAAGGCCGGGCGACTCGTACAAGGCGAGGAATGGCTTGGCCAGAGGGGAGACCAGCAGATCATTCCGATCCAATGCAATGTCAAAATTAGGGGGACAGATGGGAGATGAGGAGGTGGGAAGGGAGATGGGTTGGCGGGAAAGGGAGATGGGGTGGCAGGAAGGGGAGTCGCGGGAAGGAGAGAACGGTTGGCGGGGCGGGGCGGGGAGGCCATTTCAATGTCAAATGCGTGTGATGTGGGAGAGGCGAGTGTGAGAGGGCGGAACTGACGTTGGTGCGGACGCGTAATGACTCTAAACTTGTTGCGTCTACGCTTGTGTCGGAAACGGGAGTCATTTGCGCTGGCTGCTAAGTCGCGACGTGCTTATCCCTGGGTTTTGCTGCCTGTTGTGCATTGTGACGTAGTTTCTTAGAAATACCGGATTCAGTACACTTGTTTTGAATCACAGAGAGTACCAATGGTGCAGTGTGTTGGGGGGTTCATATCATCTCTGGGACGAGGGAAACGAGCTTGGGGAGGTAACCAATCTTTCAAATTTCAGAACCTTTGAAACTCCCATTTGCAAAATGTGGTACTAAAGCCTTAACAATTGCAGAATTGCTAAGTTCTCCAGCTGTTGCGGCTGGTACTGAAGCTGTGCACAGTCACTCAGGACCACCTCTCTGAGTCGTGCCAAATGGTTGAAGGTGGGAGGGAGGAAGTGAAGTGCCGTCTTGCTGACATCCAATTTGTGCAGGTAAGTGAGGTTGGTGAAAGAACCGGGCAGGCTAGTCAAAGAGGAGCAATTATGCAAGCTAAGGTCACCCAATCTTGATAAGAGATAGTTTCAGGAAGATGGGTCAAGCTTGGAGCTTCAATATGAAGAGATGTGAGTTGCACCAGCCGGGTTACACTTTCTGGAATCTCTGTCAGAGATTCTGCTCCTTCCACATGCAGCTGTCGCAGCTGAGGCAGAGCAGAGCCAAAGTCATGAGGCAGATGTTGCAGGAGACGGCATTTGAGATGCTTAGATCACGGAGGCATGAAAGGAATCCAAGCAGAAGTGGTAATTCTGTTTGTTCAGCGCCCAGGCGCATCTCCAGGTGCTCTATCTGAGAGGCAACGGCTGGTCGCTGGTGCGTCCATGATGGTACCGTATTCCCCCGGATAAAAGACCCCCCCATAATAATGTTCCCGGGTCTTTAATACCGGGGGGGGGGGGGGGGGTATATTATTCAAGACTGTTTTCCTTATACCCCCCAATTGGGGTGAAATCATTATAAGACCCCCCCCCCCCCCCAACATCAAAAGTGTTTTTTAGAGGTTAATTCATAACAATTAAGCAAGCAGTGGCACATGGTAGGCCACAGGAGTCACAAAATACAATCAAGGCAGCCTCTCAACACCCAGCTAGCTCCACTCTTCACCCACCACCTTGGAATCCGCCCCCGCCTTGCTACTCATCTTCGTCACCCGCCACCCACTCCTCTACCTCACCCCCCTCATAGCGACCAGGGGCCCACCATTCATCCCCTTCGTCGCTCCACTCGTAAGCTTCGTTCGCGTTTCCATCGTCGGACTCGCTCGAGTCTGACTTAGCAGGTACTGCCTCCTCATCGGCCTCCTCTGCTTCAGCGGCCAGCACGGCCTCCTCCTCCATCTCGACGGTCACATCGGGAGGGGTGACCACGGGGGCCGGGTAGAACGGGTTGGGGACCAGTTCATCCTGCTCCTCCTCCATCACGTCTTCCAGCACCTCCACCTCGCCGGAATCCCGCATGTGCACCAGGATCAGATGATCCTAGCTCCCGTCCTCTGCGTTGGAGATGCCGCATATGAGGAATGCTTTCCTCACCATCTCCTCGGGAACGTCGGCCCACGCCTCGTCAATCCACTTCAGGACGAGTTCGGCCGGCGGTTTCTTGAGGTTGCCTGCGGGTTGGGGCTAAGGGTAAGGGATTGGAGGGTGTATGGTTGTGTGATTCGAATGTTTCTTACATCGACAACATGCCCCCATTGCTTCATACAAGGGCTCACCTGCGGGAGTTGTGCTCCCATGGCACGGTGCACCAAAAACTGACAGTAGACGGCCCGCTCCATGAAAGGCCACTTGGCTTTACAGCCTGCACCAACGAGGCGATGACGACACGCCGCTGAAACAAGGAGTAGCTCCTTCAATTTCCGCCATTCGCAAATCTTCTTCGGTTGCACGTTAGCTAGCCGCGCCAACCCCCAGATGCTGAGATCGGGCTGCGTGTCTAGCATATCCAGCCAGTACAGCTTCTCCCTCGCCGTGTACGCATGCCGCGCCTTCTTCGTCATACGGTGGCGACGCGAGGCGGGGGGCGCTGCGTCCTGTACCTTCTTCTTCTTGCCTTGCGGACGTGACGACTGCGGAAATATGGGGACACGGACTGTGGGAAGGGGGGCTCGTGGGGTACGGCTGCTTTGAGAAGTCTCACTCGAAGACAGTATTGGCGTGGGCAGCACAGGACGCGGCGTAGTCCAAACACGAGCAGGTTGACAGAAGGTTGTTGCACGAGGGCGACGGGATTCTGACGTGCATGAATCGGGCGTTGACACCATGCTTACACCCTTTTTCTGCCTAATGCTATGCCTGGCATTCTTCGCGCTCTGAATTTAATATGCCGTGCTAGTCCCGCTATGCTAGACTCTGCCGAGCTGCGCTCCCCATTGCATAGAGGTGGGTCCGTTCCCTGGCGGTGTCAAATTTGCTTGTGCACGAGACGTGAAAGAGATAGCGCGACTCTGTGCTGAGAGCCTCACGTGCCATGCAAGGGATGAGACGTCCGAGGCGGTCTGACACAAAGCATTGGACGTGGTACATGTTGGTCGGCCCCCAATCTGTAATGCTGGTTACCATTGAATATGGGCCAATGAGCATGAAGCATTCAGATGCTTCATGGATTGTGCCCGGCTTCTCGGCTCAAGACATTCGCGGGGTGTTTCCTCGTTTAAAAAACGCAAATCTGCATTACAACACCCTTGCATTTCAATATATTTTAAAAAACATAGCACTTATAATAAGACCCGGGTCTTATCGGTTTTTTACTCGATAATAAGACCCCCCCCCTTTTTTTGTGAAATCAATAACAGCCCCTAAGGTCTTTTATCCGGGGGAATACGGTAACCCGAATCAGTCTCAGCTTCTTGAGGTTCGGAGTCGTTGACAAGTCTGGAAGAATGATGCTGCTGGTGTCGTTTCCCAAGCTCAATGTTTCCAAAGACTCTGGCAGTGATTCCAAAGTCTCCCTTACAAGAACACAACCCGTCAGATCCAGCTCCCGCAGGCATGAGAGGCTTTCCAAGGCTCGAGGTGCAAATGCGAGCTTGATACACATGGGGGCCTTGAGAGTCTTCAGGCGGCTCAGTTGAGTGATGGATGCTGGCAGTGCTCTCAGCTCATTGCACCAGCCCAATGTCAACCCCCGCAGGTCACCAAGTTGGCCTATACCCTCTGAAATGTTAACAATGGGAGACTTGCTGACATCGAACCGCGTTAAAGAAGAGAGGTGACTGAATGATGAAGGCAGCTGCTGCAGTTCTTCATTACAGCTCAGCACCTAAGTGCGGAGATTGGTCAGCTCGCCTATCTCCTCCTCAATCGACGTCAACCTTGATCCCGTGATGCTCAACGATTCAAGAGCAACCAAGCAAGAAATTGCTGCGGGGAGGGTGTCAATGTCCACATCATCCATGGATAGCTTATGAAGCCCTGTGAGTAACCCAATAGAATCTGGGAGTTTCCTCAGCGACAAGCTTATCAACGCTAAGGACTTCAGCCCTGGAAAACGTCCAAATTTCTCCGGCTGGCTGGATATACGGCAGTTGAAAATGGTTTGAACCTCCAAGGTGCTGAGGCTTGTGAGGGAATATGGTACCAGTATCTCAGTAAAATAATGGCTACTAGCAGAATGGCAGAGCTCGCGAAGTACCGGGAACCGCTTTCCAAGCTCCTCAGGCGGGATGCTCGGAACATTGCTTAGTAGCAGACGTTGAAGACGGAAACAGGGTGATTCTGGCCGAAACATTGAAGGGAACCTTGATGACCCCCGCAAGAATCCCAGCGAACAAAGAGCTGCCAGTATACCAAATGAGAAATCCCCCTCGAAACTGCGGAAGTATGTCTCTGGGAAGAACAGGCTGGTCAGATTCGAAAGGCGAGTTAACGGCAACAGCTGATGTAACCGCATGTCCAGCTTTTGAATGGAAAGCTCGTGAGAGAAGAGAGATTTGCGAAGTTGGGATCCTCCAAAGGCGAAACCTCTCCCAGTGATAGCGTGTGAAGGCGCGACAACTGGAAGAACGAAGCCGGAAGCTTTGTGGACCGATGGAGGCATTGGAGTGACAGCTGCTCCAAGCGGCGACAATGGTGGAAGAGAATGTCCAACCCAGCTGTCGTGACGGGGTGTTTTGATTCGCCAAACTCGTTTATCTACTCCTCGTCACGCTCACGGTTGTCAAATTACGCAATGCCTGTGCCGACATGAAGAGCGGTTAGGTTTGGTGACGACGGGCCCAGAAATGCTAGGAAATCGTCGTCTATCGCTTCCATGCTTCCGTTGCTCAAGTGCATGCAACTGAGGTTTGGGAAGGACACTAGAACGCATTTGAGATACTCGCAAGCTACCAGACGATTTCGTAAAACGTGAAGCGTTTGTGAAGATTGAAACAGGAATGAGTGGTGGGAATGAATGCACTAGCAAGCAGTTGAGTACATATAGGAAACCCTAGATTGGGCTGTACTCACTATTGAGTACCCCACTGCAGGCTAGACAAATATAACATTCTGACAGCGTTGTGACGGATTCGTGTGTGAGCTCTGGCCAGCGATGGCAGACTGAGGCAACGAGGAGAGTGTGAGCGACATCGGCAGATGCAGGAGGCTTCGAAAAATGCGGGTCAGGTTCTCCATCTTCGTTTTCCCCAGTTCTAGCGTAATCCGAGAGAGACAATGACGAGGTCGGCTGGAAAGCATCAGAATGCCAGAAGATCCTGACAAGAACATGGTCAGGAAGGCAATGGATCGTGGAATCTTTCATCATGTCCTAAGTTTGACCTGCTAAAACTCTGGCGTCTGCTCTCAGCAATGCCTGATTTGACCACAAACACGAAGCCTGGGAACGACAGCTTCCGGGGAGGATCCTAATCAGTCGAGTAAGGTAAGATGAGAAAGAGCTGTGCCAACACTTGTTGCTGACCAGAATCGAGCTTCCTACCATCCGTGTCCTGTCAGGCTTGTTCATGTCAGATTTACGGGAAGGGAAAACAACATTCGCTCCAGGGCGAGTTCCTCTCTTGAGAGAGATTGAACGAAGCCTGGCTCCTGCTTCGGAGTGAAGCGGACGATCCTTGGCGCAGCCCCAACCAATCAGAGTCAACTCACTTCGATTTTACAGCAGCAAGATTCGGATGAGCCTGTTTTTTGGCACTGAATTGTTGTACCCCTTGCAGCAGATTGCTACTTCACTAGAGTTTTGTGATTAGAGGGCAAAGATTGTAAGTATAAAGCCATTGAATGGAATACAATAGGACAGAAAATTGTGAGAATAATGAGAGGAAATGGATGAACTAGAAAGAAGGTGGGTACAAGTAGCAAACACAAAAGTGTTGTACCCTCTAAGAACTACCCCACTACAGCCTAAAGAGACTATAGCATATATAAGTTTGACAAAAATTTGTGTAGGCAACTTTTTCAATCAGCATGGAGCGTCTGAGTGGGTGAAAGAAGTAAAATATGGACAGTAAATTTGATAAAAACGCTCACAAAACATATTAGTCAAATGCAACTTTCCATGCAAGTTATCATGCCTACTAAACCTAGATATGGCAAAACACTAGAAGCTTAACGCATGCCTTTGGTCTGTGTAAGTTGGCAACAAAAAAATATTTTTGTTGCACTGCCAAGTCACCAACAAATCTCAGTTGTATCCGCTCCGTATCCTCCCCAAGCTCATGCGCTGCGCTAGTTTCTGTTAGGCTGGTATTGAACAATGGCAAAGCGTAATAATTTGCTATGTGATTGGGTAAGTTAGGTTTAAACGTGGCGGGGAAGGTCAGCTCGGAGAACAAGGGGAGAATAGAACATACAGTATAGTAGTAATTGTTGCCAGAGGGAAGTTGATCGTTTAGTATGACAGGTGGAATGGATGATTTGCATCGCATGCTACTGGTGTTGCTGAACAGCAGGTGCCAGAGTCCTTTTCCAGAAGAAATCTCTTCAGATGGTTCTCTGGCAGAAGCACCAGCAGCACCTCTTCAGTGCTCTCTGTGTTGATGTTTGTGTACCCCACTGAACTACAACAAATATCCGTACCGTGGGATTTTTAGGGTTGAACTACGGCATATGGGAGTTGCGCTCGTTCAGTCTATCTTTGCCTCTCACATGCCCTCCGTTGTGGCCAAGGAGGCCGATATTAGTATGCTGTCACCTCACATTCTGTACCATGTCTAGTGTTTGATCCTTGTTATCCCTCAATGCCAATGGTAACATGATCTTGTTGATTCCTCTTTTATTTCCTTGTATGTATAGTGTCTGTTCCCCCTCTTTGTCTCATGCAGGCACCTGCTGCTTCAGCAGTACCAGAAAATATTTGAGACGCCTTAGTTCATGTAAATATTAATAACAACAAGAATATCAAGTGAACAGAAAAAGGAAGGGAGGATGTAATATGTTGGATAAAATGCATCTTGGTCTAGTCAACGGCATTCGTGGTTTTCTTATCCCAACCATCATGTTTTACTGTATGCCATCTAAAAACACTTGTTGCATTCAAAACTACCGGTGCCATCCATCCATGCTAGCTTGTGTCATCCATGCCAACTCATCTTATTGATCCTATCTCACGACAACCATCAACTCTCATGCCACCCATCATATCTCATGCCATTCATCCTATCTCATGCCATCCATCCTATCTCATGTCAAAATGTTATAGAGCTTACATTTGCCCATAAGGGGTACAACCCAATTAGGGTTAGTACTTGTACCCAACTCATTCATAGATCATTCATTCTCGTTCTATAGTTTGACATGG